ATTATTTTATAAATATCAAGATGTTTTTCTCTGGTAGCCCAATGACAAGAAGCTATGCTGCAGAGGGGCTCTGGTGGCCTAGTGGCAAGAAGCTGCAACTACAATCCCAGAGGTGCACGGTTCGAATCCACCAGATGCTCTGCCGGGGAAGGAGGGACAATCTCCTCCTGTACCAGTCAGATCTGATTTGACGGTACACGCACACAAAAAATTAAAAAAAAAAAAAAAAATAGAAGCTATGCTGCAATCCCTAAGGCATGTGGTTCAAATCCGCAAGCTGTTCTGTGGGAGAAGTTTGGGAAGTCTCCTCCCATGTGATTAAACTGCCCCTGAAAATCCACCAGAGGGTCAGCTATGAGTCAGTTCCGACTCCACAGTACAATATATTTATAATTTAAATTTAATGGAAATCTTAAAAATCAGTTTCAAACACTTGAAATTTATAACTACAGGTCTTTTAATACATGTTTACTTGATGGAATCACTAATATAAATGCTGCTCAGCATCCTAGCACCGTAATTCCTTTTTCTCAAGAATGGGAATCCCAGAATACTTGATTGTGCTTATGCAAAACCAATACTTGGACCAAGAGACAGTTGTCCAAACAGAGCAAGGAAACACTGCATGGTTCAAAATCAGGAAGAGTGTATGCCAGAAATGTGTCCTATTTCCACACCTTTTCAATCAATATGCGGAATAGATTATCCAGGAGGCTGGACTGTATAAAGAGGAATGTGGCATCAGGATTGGTGGAGGATTCATCAACAACCTGCGTAATGCAGATGACACAACCTTGCTTGCTAAAACTGAAGAGGACCTGAAGTGCTTACTGCAGAAGGTCAAGGACCACAACCTTCGATATGAATTAAACTCAACATCAAGTAGACAGAGATTCTGTCACTGGGCCAATTGGTAGCATCATGATAGATGGTGAAGAGGTGGAAATTGTTAACAGCTTCAGTTTTCTTGGCTCCACAGTCAGCACTCATGGTGCCAGCAGCCAGAAATTAAGAAGACAAATTGCATTGGGAAAGTCTGCTGTCAGAGACCTCTCCAGAGTACTGGTTTGTAGAACTGCATAGTTGCCAAATAATTTTAAGGTATTTTTCTCAGAGTAGCCTATATTATGTTTTATCATCATCATCATCATCATCATCATCATCATCTACTTTTGTTTTTTTTTTTGTTTGTTTTTTTTTGTTTTTTTTTTTTGCAGATGATACAAGTATTTTTATTGGGTTTTTCAGGGGCAGGGGACTCAAACAAAAACCACTATGGTTTCATTTTGTCTCAATTCTTTCCTCTGATAAAACAAAGCACTGGTATTTCCTAGAACATCAACATGCAGTCACCAGCAGTAAAAAGACTTTAAATTCGGTGATTCAATGAAAGATGCAGAACAAAACTTCACTCTCCTCTTAACCACTCGAATTTTCTGGGACTCTTAGCCTTTTCTTTCCTCGGTTGTGAAGTCTGTTAGATCAGTAACCTACAAAGATTTTAACCATTAGAAAGTCTGTTCAGTAACCACGCGCACTTCGGGTTTTTAAGTAAACATGTTGCTTGTGCAAGTCAGAATCTGATACCAATTAAATGGTTACAGCTTTGCCAATAAACAAGAACATACTCTTCCATGGCTAGGAAGGGAGACTGCCACGGCTGACAGGCATCATCTACTTTTGTGGAGGACATTGGTGACCACAGATTCATAAATCTAAGTTATTTTCCTTCTTCATCCTACTTAGTTTATGAGGAACCAATTATCTGATAATTTCTTTGTCCTTGAAATTATTTTTTTCTTCATTTGTCTTTCAAGAAGGTATTCGATATCTTCTTATCTTAATGGCTCTTCTTTCTGTCTCTTTTGGCCTAGTGGTAAGGAGTTGCACTGCCAACCCAAAGGCACAAGATTCAAATACACTAGCTGTTTCACGAGAGGAAGACAGGTAATTCCCTCCCATGTGATTTACAACCTCTGAAAACCAACTAGAGGGTCAGCTATGAGTCATTTCTCACTTGACAGTATATAGTAACAACAGTCTCATTGCCTTGGCTTTTTTATAGAACTTGTTGTTGTTGTGTGCCTTCAATTTACTTGAGACTCATAGCAAGGATAATAGCTCTGACTCTATCCTGAGCCACTCACTGTCTCTGACACACCTGCCCCGATTACCTCAGTCACTGTGTCAATCCATCTCATCCCAGGTCTTCCTCTCCTGCACCATTATTCCTCTATCCTTCTGGCATGATGTCCTTCTCCAAGGAACAGTGTCTCTGAGCAACATACCCAAAGTATGTAAAATGGAGCTTCAAAATCCTTGCTTCCAAAGGAGCAGCTTGGTTTCACTTTCTCCAGGAAAGACCTGTTTGTTCTCTTGGCAGTCCATGAAATATTCAGAACTTTTCTCCGGCACCACAACTCAAATGCATAGATTCCTCTTCTGTCTTCCTTAGTCATTGTCCCACTCTGTGTCAGGTGCACCTTAGTCTCCAGACAGATATATCTGCTCTTCATCACTCTGGAGACATCTCTGACAGCAAATGTTTCCAATGCAATGAATCTTTTTATTTCCTGACTGCTAGTGCTGAGAGTGTTGATTGTGGAACCAAGCAAATTAAAATTGTTAACAATCTCATTCTCTTTTCCATATACCATGATGCTACCAATTGGCCCAGTGGTGAGAATTGGAGACTACAGTCTCTGAACTTCTTTAGCAAATGTTTCAGGGCATCCTCAGTCTCAGCAAGCAAGGTTGTGTCATCTGCGTAACATAGGTTGTTGAGTCTTCCTCCAATTTTGATGCCATATACGTGCTCATAAAGTCCAGCCTCTCGAATGATCTGTTGTGCATAGATGTTAAAAAGGTATTGGAGACAAAGTATACATGTTTGATGCACTCCTTTCCTGATTTTGGGCCATGCAGTATTTTCCTTGCTCTGTTCTGATGACTGCTTCCTGGTCCAAGTGTAGGTTTCACATGAGCACAAGAGCTTTCATTTTCTTGATGTTGAGGTATAATCCATACGAAAGGCTGTAGTCCTTGATCTTCTGCAGCATTGGGAAGAATGGGAATCCCAGAACACTTAATTGTGCTCATTAGAAATCTATACCTGGAGAAGCTGTTGTCTGAACCAAGCAAGGGAACCCTGCATGGTTTAAAATCAGGAAGGGTATTCATCAGGGTTGTATCCTTTCTCTGTATCTATTGAGTCTGTTTGCTGAGCAAATAATTTGTGAAGCTGGACTCTGTGAAGAAGAATGTGGCATCAGAATTGGAGGAAAGTTCAACAACAACGTGCATTGTGTGGGCAACACAACATCTAACTCTTAGTTTTTCAAAAAATTACAGAATTTGAGATGTGTCACTGACTTTCAAAATGTGATCTGTAAAAAAAAAGTTATTTGTAATATTGATTTCCTTGTACTCTAGAGTCATAGCTAGATTTGACATCTCCACTGAGTTATTATATAAACAATTTAGACTTATCACCTTCAAAACCAAAATTCTGAGGACCTGCCCTACAAAATGAAGATTTTTTAAAAATAAAGTTACAATTAAAAGATAGCAGTATATAAGTAGAAATTGACAGTAGTATAGTAGAATTTAATAGGAAACCAAGAAACAAATCTATAGATACATTATTCAACAATAACAATCCATTGCCTTTGAATTGGAACCAACTCTCAGCTGGCCATCCTGTGGGTCAAGAGTCTCTAGAGAGCAATGATGTCTGTTTAAAGACTAAGGTATGCCTTGTTCAAGCCATGTTCTTTTCAGTCACTTCCTATGTATCTGAGAGCCGAGCAATGACTAAAGTTGACAAAAGAAGACTTGATGCCTTTGAATTATGACATTGTAGATTACTGAATATTACTTGGAATGAATAAACAATGAACAAATAGGTCCTGGAGAAAATGCAGTCAGAGTGCTCCTAGGATGATGAAGCTTCAACTTATGTACTTTGGGCATGTAGTTAGAAGAGATATTCCTTAGAGAGGGACATCATGCATGGAAAGGTAGAGGATCAACAAAGGAGAAGAGCCTCGACCAGATGAAGCGATATGCTGATTGCAGCAACGGACTCAGTTATGTCTGAGATGATGAAGATGACACAGGATAGGACAGGGTTTAGATTTGTTGTTCATAGGGTCAGTGTGAGTCGTACTCTGTGGCACCTAACAGTAACAAAAACAAATAGCATAGGAAAAAAAATTGCCTATCTTTCTCATGTGAAGCAATGGGTAGATTTAAACTGCCCATCTTTGGTATGGCAGCAACACCCCATGCCCACTCTGCCAACAAAGCTCCATATACACACATGCTGTCGTTTTTTATACTGTCAAGTCAGAACTGACTCATAGCTGCTTCAGCAGGTGTTCGGCGACAATACATCATACAAGAGGAGAGTGCCCATTCTTGTTCCACAGAACAGCTATTGGATTTGAACCACATGTCTTTGGTATTGTAGCACAGTTCTTACCACTAACTAGACCACCAGAGCTTTCTATACATTGATAAAAAAACCTTTTATATAGCAGAACTATTTAGTTTTTATGAGTTATTTGTGATTACTTCTTTCCCTTTAAATGTGTACATACAAAATGGATATAACTGTATTTTTTCCCTTTTGTATTTGGCACCATCAAACTGGTTCATTATAAATCAAAGACTAAGATTGCTTATCTTTATAAAGCACAAGTGTTTCACAGGAATGAATTTGGTTCCTATTTTGTGTGATTCTCATAATCTTTTTGCCCACTGATAGAAATTACAGTGGACTTCATATTAAGTCATAGAGAAGGTCTTCTGAGCAAACTGAGATTTTCTAGTGTTGAAAGTTTTTGTACATTCCTCGTCTTCTCAGGAATATCAATGCCCTCAACATATATGTGCATACTATAAATTAGGTAATAGAAGAGTTGCATACAGCTGGTGAGCTTCTTACTAGAATATGTGATTTGTTTTGATAAAAATGTGAATTTGTTTCTATTTAATAGGAAATTGCCCGACATTTACGCCCCGAAACCCTGAGAGCAATCTTTGGTAAAACTAAGATCCAGAATGCCGTTCACTGTACTGATCTACCGGAGGATGGCCTGTTAGAGGTAAGATTCGGAAGGGTAAGCATCCTAATTCTATTTCAACCTCATGAATAATGTCAGCAGCTCCTGATGGTAGAAAACCTCTTAATATTCTTGGACTGTATCCTGGTAGTCTGACAACTTCAACTTTAGACTACAACTTTAAAAGACCAAACTAGGAAAAAATTTATAGTGTGATTTGTAGAACTGCATAGTTGCCAAATTATTTTAAAGTCTTTTTCTCTGAGTAGCCTATCAAATCCACAGGAACCAAAATTTGACCTTAAGTCTATCCCACTCGAATTTAAAAACCATTTCAGGAACAGGTTTGAGGACTTGAGCACCAGTGAGCATAGACCAAATGAGCTGTGGGAAGATATCAAGAATATTGTCCATGAAGAATGCAAAAGATAATTACAAAGGAAATGGAAGAAAAGACCAAGTTGGATGTCAGATGAGACTCTGAATATTACATTAGAGCAGTCAGAAGCCAAAGCTAAAGGAAGAAATCAAGAAATTAAAGAGGTGAACAGAAAATTTCAAAGGGCAGCTCAGGATGATAAAGCAAGATACTATAATGAAATGTGAAAAGAGCTGGAGTCAGAAAATCAAAAAGGCTGAATTTGCTTAATGTTTCTTAAGCGGAAGGACTTGAAAAACAAATCAAGCCATGAGTGGCAATACTTAAGCATGCTTTGAGTTGTTGTTGTTGT